ATGTGAATGTATCATATTTCATTCATGATATACAAATAATGCACAAATGCATATCAGTATATATGGATTTGTATATACTATATACAAACATATATACAAACATATGTTTTAAATAATATATTCGTATGAGAAAATAAGTCTACATCACTTTATGTACATACATATATTAAATTCATATATGTGATTTTTTTTATAAAATTTATTATTCATAATGGTGGTACTACAAGTTATTCTCTATAATATATACACGTTCATATACTTTTATATTTCAAATTCTTTTAATATCTTCTTTACCTCTCACGCTCTTCATATTTTCCTATACGTATACGATATAATTATCGAATGTCGAAAAATCGAAAGAAATATCCCATTTTATGTTCCGACATCGATTTCATAACGATTTGTTAAAAACAATAGTGGCGCTCTGAAGCAGAACGGGTCAGGGTCGTTCATTGGAATAATTACCCGGACCAATCGCACTCTAAAAAAAATAATGTGTCCTTAAATATCAAGGGCGCGGAAACTGGTCACAGTGGGCTGTTCAAATTTGAGGCTATTAATGGCTGTACTCATTTGATATTGCCTCTCTATGGGCCACCAGAATAGGATGGGCGGAAGACGGGGTGTGCCGTCACTGCATGGAATGGGACAAAACGGTAGAGAACTTATTGTGTTAGTGCGAGGCGGTGACTCACCAATAACTGACATGCTACGGAGATATTTTACCGGCTAAATTTATTCTATCGCAATTGTTTATAAGTATTTTTAAATTTTATACCCCCTGGTCCACATAATCGACATTGCATTGCTTTTTTGTTATTGTTCTTAATTTTTCCCATATATCCCCCGTTTTTTTTTTTTCATTTCGTTATTGTGTACTGAAACTATCTAATAAAATTGTATAGAATATTGTATATTTTTAAAATATATAGAGGATGTAAAAGATGTGTTTTACATTCTTACCTTTACAACATTTAGTAATGAAGTCAAGTATTATATGATGGTTACTTTAAATATTGTAACATTTACAATGTAATACACAATTTTTTTTTCTTTACATACTTTTATATGTACAAGTACATATTATATGGAAAACACAATGTACATTATGTACATATATATGGTACTAACCAAAGCTAGAGAGTATTTTATAAGATTTTCTACATAAAATTGAAAAAAAATCCTTTAGATGGAACACAGAGTAAAAATAACAAAAAAAAATATGAGAAGATACAGAAAAAAAAAACAACAAAAATGAGAACATAAGAGTAAAATGGCCTGAAAAAAGTAAACAATTTTCATTGAGAACCGTTAATAATTTATAATATGAGAAACAAAGTTTTTTTTTTTTAAAAGTTCCCTATTCTGGTTTTGTATAAAAAAAATTGAACGGGGCAGGCAACACACAAAATGAAACAAGAACAGAAAAAAAAGCGGAAAAAAATTAGGATGAGAAGAACCTGTTTTTTGTTTCACATGCACTGATACTCTGTTGAATATATTAAAAAAAAGTAAAAACAAATAAATGAAAAAAAAAGGAGCAGAGAATGAAAAATTTAAAATAAAAATAAATAACGGTTAAATATGAGGGAGGAACTGGCAGTTCTTTTTTTTTTAAATATTGTATAAGTATGTGCACAGTTACGCAAATTTTTTTTTTGTTAAAATATTTTTTATACTAGTTTTCTTTTTTTTTTTGGATTTTTTGATTAGTTTTTTTAAATTTAGAGCATAAGTTTTGGGAATAAAGTATAACAAGTTAAAAAAGAAAAAAATTAAAAAAAAAAAAATTTAAGGATTTTTTTTTCTTTTATTTACTTATTTATTAATATTTCAATTTTAGTTGGAATGAATGCCTTTATTTAATAATAACGATAGAATATTTTAACCTGACACCTTCTATGGTTGTTAAAAGACGAATTCTAGCAAAATAGTGCTAGAACTTAATAAAAAATTTATTGTAAAGCAAATACATGGATATATGGTTCGATTGAAGTGTCAATCGTCTGACTGGTAACAAGATTTGATGCAATATTATCATGAAATTGAGAATAACATATGATATAGAAAGTAAAATAAAATATTTAATTATAAGAGTAAATCTTTAGGTTACTTTTAAATTCAAAATTTTAATCGACATTTTTCTCACTCTTTCTTGTAAATTAAACCAACTTGGTATTGAAAATTTCTAAGTATTTCAAATGTTGATTTTCAATTATTTCTTATTTTAAAAATATTATGTGAGCATTGAATTTATTTTATAAAAAAATTTTTATATTTATATTTCTATATTGATTATTTCTATAATGAATTTAGTGTTATACAATGAAAAGTATTGAATTTTAAGTAAATTGTATTTTTTGAGACACACATAAAAAGTCCTTTGAACCAGAACATAACAACCAGCAAAATATTATGAACAACAGTGAAAAAAACTTAAAATTTGTAAAATAGCACATTTATTTTTAAAAAAATTTAAGTTGCAGTTCTTTATAATTTTTTACACAATTGCTGGCTATTTATAAATAGTATGGATCTAAAGTAAATTTGTGAATCTACTTATTAAATTATATTCAATTTTGATTACTGAATAAATTAAATTGATAAAGGATTACTTGACCATTCTATTATATTTCCATTATATTTTATTGCATACATTTAGGGAGAATATTATAGGCGGAGAAATAAATATATTGTTTTTGAAAATATTTTTTTTAACAAAAACTTACTTGCGTATGAGGGTCTGAAAATTTCGTAAATGGACACATGAGCACACATCAAAGCAAGCGAACACAGGATATATAACAGGACTTTACTGTGTAAACAAAATGTCTTTCTAATCTGCATTATTGCGTATGTATATAGATGTAAACTCCAAATTAATACATACTAACATAAAACAATATACACAAATTAATACATACTAACATAAAGCAATATAAAAATACTACCAAAAAATATAAGAAAAAAAAACAAAACAAAAATTATAGATTTTCCGCCAATATATGCAATTTTGTAAAATTTTATTGCATTTTTCTTCTAAAAATTTGCTTTTTCTTTTCTTTTTGTTATTTCTTTATTTACAATAATATGATTCGAATGCGTATACATCCTTACACATATTGTATATTTTAATAATATAACTGTAAAAGTATATCAGAACAAATTTTATTTCTACATATGTAAGTAAGATGTAAGTACTCGTATATACACATCTAACATCAATATATTTACATACATACGTTAGCAAAAATACGTTATTAAAAAAGAAAATTCGAGAAAATAACAGGCACTCAAGCAAACATCGCATTATTATTATTTTTTTTTTATTCTTCGAATTTTGAAAATGAATGCATTTTTGGATTGAGTGTAAATTAATACTGTACGTGTACCCGAATCCTCTACCCCCCCCCCCCCCCCCCCCACAAGCCTATAATAAAAATGCACCGAAAAATAATAACTGAACAACAAAATATTAAAGCGTAAGGCAAACAGCAAAAATAAACGGGAACAACAACATTGAATCAAATTTCTCTCATACTTACATAAACATATACACATACTATTTACATAATATTTTAACTACATATTCGTTTTTACTTATATAGTATTGCATAAATTCGGGGAGGTATTGTGTTTGCATCAAATTTTGCAAAACCATTGCATAATATTTCAGTTGGATAATTGATATAATAAGTAATGATGACATCATCGGCAATATGGTAACAAGTTCCCTTTCTCTCCGATACCGCCATATTTTCAAACCAAATTTTACAGCGAAATCGGGATCACAGACCTTTACTATATATGTAGATCGATTTTAAATTTATTTACTTTAAATTTATATATACAATTTTTTTATATATTTTAGAATACTTTTTCACTCCAACGGATCAGTAGACTATTCGATTAAATCAGCTTCCGGAATATCAACTTTCATAAGATTTATTTTACGGATTTAGACATAATATTTCAACCAATAGCCTGGTCACTTTCTTTGGGCGAAAAAAAACACAACTACCTACTAGTTTAACTGTTCCGCGCCGCCTATAAGAAGATAGAAGTATTGGAATTTTTTAATATCATTCTGAAAAAAAAACCAATACGGTCGGCTAAGTGTTGATCACACCATAGATATTTTGTTTTTTTTTTTTTGGTGAAAGGAATTACATATGAAAAATAATAACAGCCAAAAAAGTATAATAAACCAACAAAAATATATTTTTTTGGTAATAGAAAATTTATAGTTTTAGTTCACTGTACGTTGATGATAGCAGCAGGTCTTTCTTTTTTTTTGTTTTTGCATTTTACTTATAAAATAAATTCAAAATAAAGTGAACAAAGAAGAAGAACAAGCATTTTATTCAACCCTATATAAACGCATGTCTCTGTAATATAGCAGCTAGATATAACTATAGACTTATGTAAGAGAGCTCGTGTTTAGAAATTTATAAATTTTCAATATTTAAGATAAAAATGTATGTACATAAAATTGTATATTATGCACAAATAATATTAAACAATAACAAATTGTACAAAATAACATTGATATATACATATATGTATGTATGTAAGTATATGCATGCATAATGATATATTCATAAGTATATTTATATTTTTCCTTGTTCTCTTATTTTTTTTTTTGACTAAATTAAATAAATTGAATTAGAAATATTATTATAAATTTGGATTTTATTATAATTACTATAAAAGAGAATGAAAATTTTTGTTTAGTAAAGTATGTATATGTACATACATACATACATAATGTAAATTTGTATATAATTTTAACTAATTACATATGCGGTACATAAAGTAATATTATTTAATTGCATATATAGTATGTGTTTCGTATATTTTACTTATTTATTTATTTATATTTTTTTTTTTGTATATTATGGCAGTTTGTTGTATTTTTATATTTTTATTAATAAATATTACAGTTATTTAATATTTTTTACTTAATTGATATTTACAGTAATATAATTAATGGCGTCGACTAGACTTTAGTTTTATTGAAATGAAAAATATTTTGTGGTCTCATATGCAATATTTCTGTTGTAAAACATATATAATTGTATACGTGTAATGTATGTATGTATATGCATGTATGACACGTTACTTGTACAAACTTAGAAGAGACGCACTCTTTTAGTTATTATTTTTATAAGAATAATAAGCTTTAAAAATTATAATTTACAATATTGATTTGGAAAATTTGATCGGATTGAAAAAAATGCATAGTTAAATACATATGTATATAAGAATTCATCCCTTATGAATATAGATTAAGGCTTATTTGTATGCTGATCTTGGCAAAAAGACGAAAAACCGTTGATGTTACATTTATTTTCCAAGTTTTGAAATTTGAGCACATATCGGCCGACATTCTGGACAAAATCATCTCTAACACTAATTCAAGACCTCGTTCGCCGAATTTTTTTATAGTACCACCTTACAGTCTTATTATAAACTCGTTTTAGTTATAGGACTAATTATGGTATGTGCGAGCCGGTAAGCAGAATGTGGCGTCTTGGAAAAAATATAAAGAAAGATTTTACAGTAGATTGTTGATTGTACCGTAACAAAAGACATCGTAAGAAAGAGATTTTAATTATTAACTCATTACAAAAGAATTAAATAAATAAAAAAATATACACATATACTTTGTACATATAAAAAAATATAAAAATATTCGCATAATTGGGCTCACCATTTTGCGTCCACGGCTATCGTAAAATTTTCACAATAAAATTCATTAAAATTAAATTATGTGTGGCCACTTACAACCATTTTTATATTTCAGTTTAATTTTATATTATACTTCATTGATGATAATAAAAAAAATCGGGAACTTACCTGAAAATAGAAGAAAAAAAAATTTATTAATATTAAAATACTAAAATTTTATTAATATTCAATTTAAATAATACACAATAGAATAATACACCCGGTGTGAAAACACAAGAACTCAAAATAATTTTATCGAAAAAATCAATATGACAATTCTCTTGTTATCTGACGACATAGCGCCTTATTCACCACTTTCTCTCAATAAATTTTAGTATATGTATTAGTCAGTCTTAAGAAAGTGACCAAAGAATAAAGAATAAAATAAAAATATTTATTGTCTGTTATTCAATATCCCTGCTTTATTGAGAAAAAACTGTTAAATCTCGAATATTAAAATCGAATAATACTATACTGTAATGCATTATAATACAATTTTAACATCATAGATAGCGGAATATAAGGTCTACCATTGCACACATAATAACAAAATATAATAGGTATAACATTAAAATGAAAAAGCATTGAAATTCAACAAAACTAAATGGTGAATTTGTTATGGTATAATGAATTAATTTTTAGTTAGAGCAATATTGTTGAAACCGATCATTTTAATTCAGTTTAAAATAGTTCTAATGTTAAGAGACAAAAATAACTAATTTTCATAATGGAAATAAACACCAACGACAACTAATTTTCGATAAATTTGATAAACCATGGTCATTCAATACGAGTACCTAAAAAAAATGAGACAATTTCCAGAAGTTTCAAATATCAACCATAGATGTTTTTTATTCTTATAGCCAATTATTATTATTCATTTAATTGGTAAATTTTTATTCATATAACTCTACTAACATATAAGTAATGCGAGTATTTTACGGTGTATTCACTTTAAAAGCTCATGCTGTTACTCTTATATATAGAACGTTTAAAAATTATATAAAAATATCATATGAAGTCTACATACATACGTATATGTAAATTAATCTATTATTATAGAAGTTTTTACAAATTACACACATTTCCAGTGGAAGTACAAATAAGAGTAATTCCGTCCGATTCTCTGAATTAAACCTTATCTACATATACATAATATGTATGTACAATTTTATGATAACTTCCTTAAAATAAAATACAAACTGAAATTATAATACTTTATTTATTTTTTATTTTTTTTAATTTATTTTATAATAAAAATGTTATTATGAATAAAATATATGAATTTATTGTAAAGTATAAATGAATGAATTTAAAAAATGAATGAACGAATAAATTATCATTTTATTTTTCTTTTACGTTTTTCTTTTTCACTTTCTCATTTATTGCATTTAAAGTATGAGTGTAACATTGTTAATTTTCTTTTACTATGACACTCTTATGCTAATAATCTCACACTCTAAACCTTTTAATAATAATAAAAAAAGGTGACTTACTCATTCGTAAAAATTATAAAATAAAAGAGTTTTTTCATCAGAAAGCAAAATATTAAAAGAATGGAAAAATTATGATAAATTTAATCTAGAAAACCCCACGAGATCAAAAAAAACTAACCACAATATTTTTATGTATGCATGAATTTGTATATTTCCATGTATGATTGTTTATCTTCATACATAATGTTTACACACTTAAATGCACTATAAAAATGCCGGCTTTTTAACATTTTCAACTTTAATAAATAGTTTAACAGGCACATACTCTCATAATTGTGGCTTTATACACCATACCCAACTTATAATACTAGTGTTGTATATTAAGTGTTATATATTTGAGTGTATGAATTTAGAATCTGTAGAAAAAAATTGAATTAAGAAAGTATGTAAGTATATTTTGTTGTTCATGGTTATTGTATGAATATAAAGAACGCGATGCGATACACACACGTCAGCTGTCAACCATCAAAAAGCTACCTAATAAGGTTGAAGCGCCACTCACTAAAGTCTTTTTTTTTATTTTTTTGTTTCGTCTTTTATTTTTTTTTTTACACTTTACTTTAATTTCTGCTTGTTGCTTAATATGCGGTCGAATATGGGTGTATATATATTTGTATAGATGTATGTGAAAATGTACATTATATTTTGCTGTTTTTTTTTATTTTTCTTTATTTTCAAGTACATTTAACAGCACGCGCTCGGAATATTTTAAAAAAGGCGCATATATTGAAAAGTGTAAACATTATTTTTACAGAAAAACTATAGCAAAACCAACAAAAACAAAAAAAAAAGCAGTAGAAAAACAATGTGATAAAAAACTACATACAGTAAAAATTAAGTCCATCGTGGTCGTCATTATTGTTTTGTCGCTTATTCATTTGTTCCACATACTACAAATTATTATGTAGGTTTTTAAGAAGTGCATAGCATCATCATTGTGAATTTATAAGCATGTTTGTGGTTATGTATAATAATTATATGCAAGTATGTACATGTATGTGTGTATGTAATAATTTGTTTTTTATTTGCACCATGTTAAGTAAAATGTATGAAAATGTGAACATAAACGGCGTATCATTGTATACCTACCTACACATTTGATAAGATACAATTTAAGATAAAACTCTTAATAGGTTGTCAACATTATTTTTTCAAGTTCATTTCTACGATCTGAGTGTAAGGAAGTTATTTTTGTTTTTGTTTTTCAAAATTACTGTAATATATGCATATGCTTGAGCATAATATGAATGTTGAGTACATCATGTTCATTTATTAATGGCTAAAAAGTAAAAAGTGTCAAAACACAAAACGTTATTTTGCGAAAATCAACTTAGAAAAAAAAAATAAATCTAAATCAACTAAGTTGAATAAAACTGATCAAATAACAATCGATTTCTTTCGGGAATTAACAATTGGAAAATTTTTTTCAGAATGAAATTTATAAAATTCTTCACTCACTTAATAATAATATGTCAATAATTGTACCAAAAAATTTTGAACGGAAATTTTTAAGTTTCTTAAAAAAGGTTCCTGTTCCACAATTTCACGGTAATTTTAAGATGAAATTTCACATACATTGCAATACATTGGAACAAGGATGACCATTGTCGTATGGAACAACTCTGGTACAAGTACAACAATATACTGATGTACACCCTTTTATGCGTACCATAAAAAAAGTACCAAGCCGTTCATAAATTTTCGTTCAAATTTCGGAAGACATTCTTTACATTTTTATGTATTAAATAAATTTTTAACATTGCTTAGCTTGTTGTACAATAAAATAAAAGTGACGAGAGTTTGTTGTATACGGCGACTACACATGCAATATTTGAATCGCTCAATAATTTATTCGATATATTGTCGCCGTCGTTAACAAAACGGCGTTTTTTTTTTTAAATTTTCATATAATCTTGCTAAATAAGACTAATTGGCTTTAAGTTGATCAACCGCTCATTTATATTTTTATTTTCTCGTTTTCTTTTTTATTTATTATTTTTCTTTTTTCTTTTTATATTTCGATAGTATAGTTAAAAAAAATTTTTTTTTTTTAAGTTCAGTTGATATTTTCGTATACATTCATGTGTATACGTTTTTATAGTGAAAATAAAATGAATGAATGGAATAAACGAATGAATGAATGAATGAAATAAGCGGTTAATACAGAACAGATGAGCAATAACCAAGAGAAAAGAATATTTTTAGTAATATTAAAGGGGAAACAAAGAATTTCTCTGTTACTAAAATATTTTAAAAGTGAAATAAAGAAAAAAAATTTTCAAGATATAAGATTTATTATGGGATAAAAATAAACATTTGATTTAATTCTAAGTATTAATGAAAGTGGAAGGAACTTTCATCGGATGAATTATTTGAATTACGGTCGTCAATTTAAGTATCTAAAATTATGAATAAAACCTAATGAAATTCCCTCTAACATCCTGGTGAAATTAAACGGTATGGTGAATTGTTTACAGTAGATTGCGATTCCGATTACAGGTAAATTGTGTGGCTTCCTAAACATTAAAAGGTGGTCTGCTTCTTAGTTCATAGATATATGAATATGTAGACTATAATAAATACCTTACAAAGAGGCTGAGTCAGCCTAAAGATCAACACCAAAAAAACAAAATACCTGAGATTGAATATGACGAATAAAACGCCCCTTCAACTAGGCGATAGTGAAATTGGAAACGTGCCACTTTGGCTGATCTGATTTGATTTATTATTACAAAATATTTATTAAATAATTAATTTATTTACTACACATTTTAAGTATAGTTTTTGTTAATATTTTAAAAATAAAAACAATTCAATAGTAGAAATTCATTTTAATATGTAATTATAATCAAATATTTCAATAATTTTAATTTATATCTTACGCAACCTGTTGTTATATGTAATTAAATACATTATAAAAAATGAAATTAATTTAGAATAATAATTAAATAAATTATATTTTTTTTATTATTTTTAATTTGGATTTATGGATAATAATACTATATAATAATCGAAATAATAATGCCATTAATATAATTATACAATAATATTTTATATTAATTACAATATTGATTGCAATATATATGTATATATATAATATATATATATATTGCATATTATATATATATATATATATATATATATATATATATATATATATATATTAATGTTACAATGAGTGTCTTGCATTTAATTCAAGTGAATTTTGTTTTTTTATTAAAAAACTGCAGTTGTTATACTAAGGAGATTACAAAATAACAATTAGAGTTTCTGTCTCGAGAATTCTGTCTCGAGAAATCTCGAGAAAAAAACTGAAAAAATTGTGATTTTTTCTCGAGAACTTATTTTAAAGAATTTTCGGGAATTCTCATTTCTCGAGAATTTTTTTCGAGAATTTGTCGAGAAAATTCTCAAACAGTTTTATTACCATGTAGCTTGCAGATGAAGTTGCAGCTAAACTTTGAAAATGTTTGATTTTGCCGCTTTGTGAAGCGCTACTTGTCATTAGGTATTCATTGGTTGACTGTCAGTAGGCTGTCAGTTATAAAATTGAAAATTGAATAAAACCTTTTATTTTAAGAACTTTTTTTCTAAATTGAATTTTTAGTTTTTTTAAAATAAATTAATATTATA